GGACATCTCTAACTTTAACACAAATGTTTGTTTAGCTTAATTTCTGTAGAGGACCTTAGGACAACAAGAAAATCGTTTTGGCGATATAAAATGATTTTCGGCTGCCCAATATAATATCAATCTTTCAGCTTCTGATATCGATTTTACTCTGGTACTCACGTAGGATGCGCCATGGCGTCCAAACACAGCCGATTCTACCATCCATGTTTGACCAACATCGGATCAGATTCCTATTTTACTGTAAAAAAACCTGGGTTCCAACAATTAAGCAGCTAAACCCAAGGTTTGCTCTTCCCTCCCGGAATACAGTATTTATTTTTGTTTGTTAACTGGTTTGGCTAGTGTCATTTTTATGTGTGTAAAGCATAGTCAAGGAAGGAATACTTTTAACACTTTTTTTTTTATCAAGCTTTCTTAATATTGTGCACAACATACAACCTCAAAATATTGTTCTGTTTTATTGTATTTATTTATTGTTTTTTATTTATTAATAAAAACATTTCTGTTAAATTTTGGGGACTTTATTTTTATCCTTGTGATATCGAAAAAAAGCATCGAGTATCGAATATTTTCCTGAATATCGGTATCGAGTTGAAAATTTTTGTATCGTGACAACCCTGGTCCCTAGATAATAATAAATTATTACTTTCTTCATTAAGTGGGGGAATAATAATTAACAGAGTCAGATAAACATGAATCAAATGAACGTTTTGCCAAATAAAGCTAAAAAAATCGCCATCAGAGCTATCGGTCCTTCACACACGACTATGCCGAGAGAGGGCTGCTGCAGACGAGCTGCCATTAGCCCTGGCTGCCGTTAGCCTCGGAGGTCCGCTGGTTGCCGCGGTCCTCTCAACTTCGGAATTTTTTTTTTCTTTAAATCACGCATTAAATTGGTAAATGGACCATATAGTGACGCTTAAAATTATATTATTCTCGCCTCAAATGATCTTAAAATGTACTTTTATTGGACAACAGAAAAGAGAAGTTTTAACTTAATACTCTGAGCTCTGTGAGCGCTCCATTAAAAGCTGCTGTTGCCGCAGTGCATGTTGGGACAGCTGTCAATCTCAAGAACGGACAAGTCTGCTCTCATGCTTACTCGGTAAATAGGGAGGGGCGAGAACAACATCCGGGGAGTTTGTCTGTTCTCGGTCTTCTGTTCTTGTGAATTGGAACAGTACCAGGGCTGAGGCTGATGACATTTCACGAGCACATGAGAACGCACAATACACATATTGAGAAACGGCTAATGTTACAATTATAATAATATGACAATAAGTTCTCTAGATGAAAAGCCCTAATCAGAATCAGTGGTGACAGCAAAGAGATAGTGGGAAAAGCAGAAAGAGTAGTAGAGGGGTACAGATCTATGGCTAAGAGTAAGGATAGGAGATGCTCTTGAAGAGGTGGGACTTTAGAGGTTTCCTGAAGATCGAACACTGTAGTTCTTGTAGCGCTTGGTAGGTCATTCCACCATCTTGGAACAACACATGAAAACAGTCTGGATTGTTTTAAAGTCGTAGGAAAACGGCTGTTCCAACTGTTGCATTTCCAAATTTTTGCGAGTGGTGCCCGACTTAACACAAGAGAATAAAGTGAATGTGATTAGTCGATTATCAACAGGGCGGGATTGTTGTGGAGGAAGATTCGCAAGCAAGTTTGGTTGTGGCCAGTGTCTTGGAAGCATCTTGCTAACCAGTTAGCAACTTAGTGCTAGTAGGTTCCCAATGGGAAATTCCATTGGGACCAAGTAGCACTAAATTGGTGACTTAGAAACGACACTGTCAAGGAACGCTATGGAGAGCGGAAACATGCAAGAGGAACAGAGTTTAGTGTCTGAGGTCATGGATGAGTCTCCTCCATCATCCATTTTTTATTTAGAGGAAAGCGGGGATGAAGATGTTGTGGAAGAGGACGCCAGGGCGGCAGAAGCTTGGTTTGTTGTAGAAGACTTACAGCCGTACATGTTTGAGCCCTTGCCTCACAACACTGCCAGTTCTGTTAGTTCTAAGACACAGACGTCCATCCCCGTGAACACTGGGACGGAACTCAATGGGAAAGTAAATTATTCTTATTTCAACCGTATATTGCGTATATTAGCTGCGACATATGAATCAATATGCTATGACCGAAAAAATTTGATTGACAGATGACCGTTGATATATGATAGGCCGAATTTAGGTGTTCAGGCTGACGTATAACTAACTGGCCTTCATAAAATAACGGAAAAAAAAGATTTTAAGACAGGATTTTTTTTTTTTTATAGAAATTTGCAAACTTTTGGGACAATATCATCTGATAAGGAGTACATTTATATACATGTTTAAGAATGATTTGACATTTAGATATGATTTGGGATTCAGTGATAATATGCTAACAAAAACCAACTGTTTTTTGTCATGTTCCAGGATTTAAACACACTATGTACATAGTTTACTACCTATTGATTCTGTGCTTTCATTTATGTCAAACCAAGTCTCTAATGTAGTTGATTTGTGTTCTTACCTGCAAGGTTATACTTATTAAATGGTGATGATGTAGATTGTGTAGCTTCACTCAGTCCACTACCTCCATGTTTGGTTCTCTGTTTGTTCCCAGAAACTGTTTTCTGGTGAACTAACTGCACTGTGTTGTTGCAGAGCTCTACTTTACTTCAATGAAATATTAAACACCTTAGATCGTTTGAAAACTGCTCTGTAATTGAAAGCAAACATCTGTTTCTCTGCCTGTCCTTTAAATTACTTTAAATAGGTACAGAACATGTACCACAGTTTGAATCTTTTAAAGAGGATTAAGGAGAGGTTAAAGTTGAGTTTAAGAGTGACTTCTTTGCTTCTTTAATGTTGTTATATTCTGCATCTTCCTTTTCAGATCCGACTTTCTGTTTTTTTTTCTTTTGCTTTATTGTTCGGTTTTAGCTGAGCCACATAATCACTGTTATGATTGCTATGTAAAGAGTCCTTATCTCTGTGTTTTTAACCGCTCTGCTGACGCTCATCGTCCGTCAGTCAGACCCAGACGTCACTGAATAGCATACTTGGCAGCTCACTTTAGTTTACGTTTTCCACTTCCCCTCTTTCTGTTTCCCTCATTCTGATAAACTTGGAAGCTGTCGAACATCATGTTTTTTTTTTTCCAGAAGGTCTCAGTAAAAAGCAATGAAGGTTAAAAAAACCTGACAGAAAAAGTCACTTTAAAGCATCTTGGCTTCAGGCTTTGGGGTAAATATCTTTTAAACATTTTAGTCATATTCTGAAACTCATTAATTGATTCAGGAATAAAGGAAAACTATTTTGGCAGCAATATCTCTTAGGGGTTAATTTTTTATTATGAATTAATCTGTCCTTCATATTGATTCATAATGACTTTCTGAATGTTTTGTCCCACTAATTCAGTTTCAGTTTTACATCTAAGTTCTGACTGGCTCCTTGACCCATTTTTAACCATTTTCTTGTAGATTTGCTGCTGTGGCGGGTTACCGCCTCTGTTTAGGCAAAGCTGAGGGACAGATGGCATCACATTGCTGAATGATGTTTGGTTTAATTTGATCCCATCTGTCCAAAATATATTGTTCCAGAAGACTTGTAATTTATTCTGACACATCTCTGCAATCCTAGGCAGTCTTTTATATTCTCTCTAGAGAAAATAGGAGTTATTCTTTTAACGCTTCAAAATAACCCATATTGTTTTGCATCTGTCATATTTTCTGTCATAAAGTTGAATATTAAAGATACAGACGGAGGTTTGTAGATTCTAGGTTGTAGCTGCCGGGTTTAAACATTACCTGGCCCGGTCTTGGGTTGAATTTGCTGAAATTGCCGATCCCAAAAGAAAAAAAGAAGGTTTCACTGTTGAATGACAAACTTCAAATACTTTGGAATAATTCATTTGTGGGTTTGAATTTCTGATTATGGTTGAATTCTGGCGTTGTATTAACACAGCATAATGAAAACCGCCGTAATTCCTGCTTTTTTTTGGGATGGTAATTTTAGCTGATAACCAGTTTATACATTGGATTTAATTAGCAGCATTAGTTCAATTTCAGACCTATTTACTCTTTTAAAATTAATTCCTTGGATAACATGTGGTTTAGATTATAGATTTCCCATCTCAGCTCTTTAGCATTAGCTTACATATATTCTAGTTTAAATTACAAAAACAGCAGTTTGTTTGTTTATATTCTACAGCAGGTAGATTATTGCCTTTACTCTTATATTATCAAGAGAAAACTAAGATTTCTAAATCCAGTTTTCTTCACAGCACAAAACCTTTATAGAATAAATTTAGCTTATGGCTAAATCAATTAATTAGATTTTTTCCCCCCACTAATTTCCTCTTGGGCTTCCGTAGCTCATGGTGACCTCAATTCATCACTTTATGTTGTGAGATGTGTCCTTATAACTGATAAACTAGCTGAGTGTGTAACACCACTAGCTGCAAACATTTACCTTGCTATACTTTTTCATTTTTTGTTGTGAAACATTGTTTTACAAGTACTTTCAGTTTGAATTATGCTGCCTTTTCAATTAAGGTCACCTCCCAAAGGGGATGATTGAAATAAAGGCTAGTTTTAAAAGGGTAATGTATATCATTTTTATTATGAGACTTGAAGGAGAACAAAATCTATTCATTGGATTTGGTAGGAATAAATCTGATATTATTTTTATTTTTATCTGCATTAATCTTAATCTCTGTCTTTCATCCATTTCTAAAGACATAAATATCTTCATATGCATTGAAAACTGATTTTACTCCGTTATATCTTCCTAAATCTCTGCTCCTCCTGGGTTGATTTAAAACAACTCGCTGATAAATAAATGGACACCTTGAGTTTCTTTTCTCTTTAAAATCTAAGATTGGTGTCTTCTCAGTCAACAATCTTTTTCTAAATACATCCTTTGCTGAAAATTCTTTAAAAGGTCTAAAAACCCGTTTAACTCTTTCCCTTCAGTTAAAGTAAATCCATATTTTAGTTTCTGGTTTGTTTATATTTTCAGGATGACAACTGGGGAGAGACGACCACCGCCGTCACAGGCACCTCAGAGCACAGCCTCTCCCAGGAGGACATCGTCCGCATCACCAAAGACCTCGAGGACAGCGTCGGTCTCGACTGCCGCCGCTACGTCACCCGGACCATCGCTGTGATCCTGGGCCTGTTGGTGTTCTTCACGCCGCTGGCCTTCCTTGTGTTGCCTCACATCCTTTGGCCAGAGAAGCTGAAGAGCTGCGGGACGGCCTGCGAGGGCCTCTTCATCTCCGTGGCCTTCAAGCTGCTCATCCTGCTGCTCGCCGTTTGGGCGCTCTTCTTCAGACCGGCGCGGGCGGGCCTCCCGCGCGTCTTTGTTTTCCGGATCCTACTTGCTGTGCTGGTATTCCTCTTCGTCGTCTCCTACTGGCTCTTTTACAGTGTCCGGATACTCGACTCACAAGTATGTGAAAGATTCCACTTACAGCTTTTATTGCTTTTATATTGAAGTTATTTGTAATGAAGATACATTTTTTTAAACGCACAGATTTCTGGCTCCTACAGGGATGTGTTTACTGTTTGAATCCTGTTTTAAAATCCCAGTTTTTTCATATTTCTGATAGCTTGAGGAAAAAAAAGACAGTCTAAAAGGCTTCTAGTCCTTTGCAATCGTCTCTAATGTTTGAATGTACTACATCTAGTCTTGCATGTATATAAACCTCAAGATTATTCCCTCTGGGTTTATGAAAGTAATAAATTAGTTAGGACTATATGTTTAAAAGCTTAAGGGGTAAAACGATCCGTCTTTCTTCATGTAGGACGATAACTACCAGGGCATTGTACAATACGCGGTGTCCCTGGTGGACGCGCTGCTCTTCATCCACTATCTGGCGGTCGTCCTCCTGGAGCTCCGGCAGCTCCAGCCATGCTTCTCCGTGTGCGTCACGCGCTCCACGGATGGAGAGACGAGGCACTACAACCTCGGACAGCTCAGGTAAGGAGAACACGGCAGATTTCTTGCTTTTTTGTCCTATAAGATAACCTAAGTGGGGGGGAAAATATCTGCTTTTAAATGATTTCGTTAATTTTGACAGCCTGTGTGAAAGAGATGGAAAAAGTAGTCAACGAAATTACTCATTACGTCAGGACATCACATCTGCAATCAGACATGATAAATAAAACAGTGCAGGTCTCTATTAAGCTGTTTGAAACAAAAACACAAAATAAAGGTTTTGAATGGGTCTACATCTAGATTACTTAATTTAGATAAGGTGTATTCACACCTTATAATGTGGCCCGCTTTAAACCAACTAAAGTCCCCCCCCCTCCCATTGACCTAGACCTCTTTTTCTGGTGTGAATAAAGACTTGTACAGAACTAAAACCCGCTTTTTGAGTTGGTTTCACTCCTAAACAGACTGTGTTGCAGTTCTCTTTATGTATGAATACAAACCGACCCAAATGCAGAGGATACCTCCCTTTGAAGAACCATAAACATGTATTAAAATCATACCTGGTGTGCAGTTGGTTGGTTAGCAACACTGCTGTCAGCAATATGTGGATCTCAGTTGGATTGAGAGACTCTTTTAAATTAAAAAGTCTCTGTATTTATACAGAATGAGCTGTTCTAGGACACATTGGTTTTGCATAAATAACAGCATAAATATGCAAAAGAGTGGAGGTGCATGCAGGATTCCAGGACACCAGTAGTTTTCCTTTGTTTCCTGGTCTCAGCTCTGTCCGGCTGTAGTCAGTGATCCCACCTGAGTCCATATGCAGAAAGTACAGTTTGAATAAAAACGAGACCAAATGAAAAACGGGATCAAAGGACCTCTCTGGTGTAAATTCACCCTTGAACTGGTTGTTGATTAAAACCTTCTATAAGGACTGAAAAAACAGTTCTATTAAAATCTCATATAGATCTGTCTTACTTTTATTAGCAGGGGGTGTAACATTATACCATTCAAAGGAACTCTTATTTGAATTTTTTCTTGAGTTAAGTTAGCCTTTTTCTGATGAATTTGTTCAATGTTCATTTAACATAAGTCTAAGCAAACTTTTGATCTTATCTCTAAGAACTTGCCTTGAAGGTATAGTTCATGTTTTTGGACCTGAGTTTGTGTGAACCGTTCGCCGTCTCTAGCTGATGTGTAGCAGTGTCCGTACCGTCACCGAGCCCCCTGCTTTGACAAACAGCCTGTAACATACCTGAACAGTAAGAATCCAAGGTTTTCAAGCTAGAAAAATTATGCTTTTATTTTGTTTGACTGTTTCAGCAATTTTAAAACATCCCAGCGCTGCATCAGGGCTTGATATCAATTATGATATTTTTGGTTGCTATCACACATAGATGCAGAACACCATTCCTGAGTACGGAATGCACTAAACAGCTCATCAACACCCCGAATAGTTAAATGTTCTTTACAAAGGTGAATTATTAGACCATTATTCTTGATGTAAAGTATGTAGTAGCCATATGTTCTGTAAATATTGTGTATAGTTAACTACAGCATAAAGACCTGATCAGGCTAGCGACACAGCCCCTCATCTCAGCCGTTGTAAACAAGTAGACAAGTTTATTTGATTGAAAATGGAAGATAGATTTAAATAATGTTGAAGTTGGAAATGTTCTTAAGAGGTTTGTGAGTGGCTTTTAAAAAAGCTGTTTTATTTTAGCCCTAGAAGGACTGTTGGTCTTATGTCCAGCGTAGACACCAGCCTGCGCTCCACCTCTCTTTCTGCCCGCAGGCTCCCGGTGATTCTCAGCGGCGCTCCTTCCACCTCCAGCAGTTAACCTCTAACTGCCTCTTTCTCTGTTTCCCTGGCGAGCATCTCTGATGTCCCTCGGTTCTCCTCATGGCCTTTTGTGGTCCTACCTCTCCGCTATACTGCTGTTCTGCACAATCCCCCGATCTCTCGTCTGCTTTTGCTCACCTTGAAATTTGCCCAGATATCGAAAACATTTTGCATGTCCAGCGTAAGGACCAACTAGCACAACAGAGGGGAAGGTGAGATGGTGACCCCCTTTCAGTGAGAAGGGCTGCAGAAAGAAAACAAAGGCTTCTAGAAGACGGGAAGCTTTAAAGAACGACACTGAGGAAGAGGAGTGAGAGAGATCCAAAAACTGGGACATGACAAGTCAAAGAGCAGGAAATGAGATGGTTTATGTGGTCCATAACGGGAGGAAAGCTTCAATAAAGTAAAGCCCCAGTTAAAACCGGAAAAGGCAGGGAGACTGAGGAAACCAGGAAAAAAAAGATTTCACAGAAAAAAAGCTCTGATATGGTGGTTAGACCTGCCAGGAGAAAGAAAGCAGCGTGAGGGGGAAGATTTCAGAAAGGAAAGTGCTGCAAAGAGAGGAGAAGACACTGGAGACTGAATAGAAAACAAGGCTTTAATAGTTAATGTGATAGTAATGTTGAAGACGTTCAATGTTTGTCAGGCTGGAGGAAGGCGAAACTTTGTGTTTAGGAGAGAAACGCTCATAACAGACCTTATAATATGTCTTTATCAGCTGTACGGGAAAAACAGGAAGATCCCATTTTTAGCTGAAAGCAGCAGCCCTGCTGTCGCTGCCTGGCTACAACAGGCAGCTCCCAGTTTCTCACACACTATCGCTCACGGCTTCCCATTAAAGCTGAAGGATTTATAGCTGGAGCTTCTTTATATACTGGGAGATAGAGACCTCATCTTCTATTTGATCTGGAATTCAAAGCTTTATAACTCTGAATGATTGGTGACTTCTATGTCTGATTATTCAATGTACAGTTTGTTTGAAAAGTATTCATACCTGATGAATGTTGCAGTTTATAGGTTAAACGATCTCAATTGGTTTGGTTTTCTAACTGTTTTAGAGATGCTTTTAATCTGCCATGGATCTGCTTTGATAGAAACATGTCAGACGGTTTGTGCGCAGCAGTCCGGTTGGACTGTTAGCTGGCTGATTTGTAGTTGTTTACCTTCGTTTGCTCCACCGACAATCAGTCATGCTCGGGCCGACAGCAGGCCTGTCTGCGCTCTGTTTTCCGTCTGTGACTGTAAACACGCCTAATTAGGGCTCCCTGCAGACGGCAGGACAGCATCTGCTCTGACTGACTCATGCATGGGTATGGTGAGCGTCGGCACGCTGCACGTTCATGCAGCTTGTTTGACTCGTGCACAGTTAACCCCATATGAGAACAGAGTGCTTTAGCATGTTAGTTAAGCTAGTCTGTTTTCAGAAGCTGACTAAATGTTTATGATGAGCTGGAGCCTCGGTTTCATTGTCACTTGACAGAAGGCTGAAACATTCCCCTTTCCATTCCCCTCACTTTTTTAACCCAAACCGGTTAAGCCTCGCCTATTAAACAGCCTGCTCTGAGGAAGGAAACAGAGCTAAAATAGATTATTAACGCTGGAAAAATACTTGGTAATTTCAGATTATTTTCAATTCAATTCAGTTTATTTATATAGCGCCAATTACAACACATCATCTCAAGGCACTTTACATTTTGCCAGATCATAAAGTCAAATTGATTCATTATTGTTAAACTTATTCTCTTTATCCTGTTGCCTAGAATCCTTTTTCTCTCCTTCTTATCCTACCTTATTGTCTCTCTAAGACCTCCCTTCCTCCCTTCATTGTGAACTTCTTTGTGTTTCCTACCGACCTTCATTTCATAATTTCTTGTATCCTTCTTTGTTTCTTTCCATCCTTGCTTCCTATCTTGTATTTTTACAATCCGTACTTGCTACTTTTTGTCTTTCCTTCCTAAGTTTCCCTTCTTTTATTCCATTCTTCCTAGTTTCTGTCCAGTGCCCTCCCTTTCTCTGTTATTCCCTCTTTATAAACTCCTGTCTGTCAGTTTGATCTCATCTCATCTCCAACCCAACCCCCCCACCCCTTAATGTTATTTCAGGTTGTCCTTATTTAGAATATTTTTAAATGAAAGGACATGACTTAGAAGTCTGGGATGTTTGGTAAACTTGAATGAAGCCATCCTCACTTCATAATACTGCCACCTCTGTTTTTTTCACAGTTTTTTTTTTTCACTCAGGTTAAATATCAAAGGTATTATAGTAATAAATAGGGCCGGGTAAAAAAATCGATTTAATCGATTTTGAATCGATTCCTTTACATTTTTGCAAAATCCTTGTCTACGAAATGAGATCGATTCATTTTATAGTGACCCGCATGATAAGCAGAAAAGATGCACTCAAGATTACTTTAAGCCAGACAGCTGCAAATATAGCTAATAGGTTGACTGAAGACAATAACAAATGGGGGGTGACCAGAAAACACCCTGTAGTTGTTACAGACAACGCTGCAAATATGGTTTGTGCGGGGAAGATAATGCAGCTCATGCATGTCTGCTGTGTCACGTCTGCTTACTCGTGTGAAGCTTCACTTTTTCACTTTTCACAAACAAGTTTGCACTTTTGAGACAGTTTTGTTCACATCTGGTTTAAACTGTCTGATTTACAAGTTTGCACTTAGTTTTTAATATGACACGAAAAAACAAAATACATGAATATTTTGAAACACAGTTGAACCACTTTCATTATTGTAAAAACAGATCGAATCGAAATTAATCGATTTAGAACCGTATGAATCAAAATCGAATCGATTCAGGACTTTGGCAAAAATACCCAGCCCTAGTTATAAATATAGCATTTATTGCTAATATATAAACTAATACTGCAACTAGTGATTGTTTTGCTCATTTAGAAATCTTTCGAATATAATTGTTTTCAATTGATTGATTATTAATCTCATAGCAAAAGATGCTTTAAAGTAGATTTTATGGTAAAGTTAAAGCAGGCGAAGCTAAAACTCAACCACTTGAGAAGTTTTATCTTTCTAAAATGACAACTGTTTATATGATTTTTACAATTTTGGTGTTATTATACTGTTACTGTTTCTGTACATGTGACTGTCGGCAAAGGGGAAGGATCCGGGGAGTTTTTAATGCCGAATGCAGTAAATGAGCCATCACTTAATGTAGTATTTGTTCTG